GTTCATGCGCGTGTGTGTTCATTTGTGTGTTTATGCGCGTGTGTGTTCATGCGCGTGTGTGTTCATGCGCGTGTGTGTTCATTCGTGTGTTTATGCGCGTGTGTGTTCATGCGCGTGTGTGTTCATGCGCGTGTGTGTTCATTCGTGTGTTTATGCGCGTGTGTGTTCATGCGCGTATGTGTTCATTCGCGTGTTCATGCGCGTATGTGTATGTGGCGACGTGGGTAGCGGTAGTATAGCGATTAGTGCACTGCGATACGAACCCAGCGATTTGAGTTCGATTCCAGATCACGGCCATTATTTGAACCGTTCCTGGGCCTCCCCTAGGTCGACTCAGCCTCAAATTAGTACCTGGTGCGGTGTAAACATCACCACTGGGGAGACAAAGGCGGCCGGACCTGGAGCTGGCCACCCATCCCCTCGTATGCCGCTCCGGCCTTCATAGGTTGCTCACTAACAAAACTCGCCCCAAAGGTCTGTTAACACTATATGGAGGGATTGTTGTCTTTGTGTGTGTGTCTATTCGTGTGCATGTGCGCATATCAGTGTGTAAACAACGCCACTGGGGAGACAAAGACGGCCGGGGCGTGGTGCTGGCCCATCCACCCCCACGTGTACTTGCCCCAAAAGTCTGTTAGAGGCTATACGGAGGTAAAATAAAATAAAAATAAACTAATTTAACTTTTATTAATTTTAATTTTTTACCTACGTGACTTTACCGAAAAAAACCCCAAGAATATGAATCCTTGCAGTCACGAAAGCTTCAAATCTAGAAGCTATACGGAGGATCTGTGTCTTTGTACGTCAGTCAGTACGTGCAATGTGTGTACGTGTGTGGAGGTGTGGGGGTGGGTGGGTGGGGAATATTCGTGCGTGTGTGTGTTTTTTTTCTCTCTCTTAACTGAACCATCACAGAGGGGCACTTGACCTGGGATTTACTAAATTGGATAAATTGCGCCGGGTCTCCACGTCCCCGCTAAGCGAGGTCGGTGTAATTGCATTGCACTGCTCTGCCGCAGTGGCAAAGCGTACTAGCTTACTATCGTCTAGAAACAAGTTTTACTGGCTGGCTGGCGAGCACTGGCCGATGGACGTACAGTCACAAAACGTGTGCGTTGCTAGAAATGTTTTGTTGATATATATGAATACGCCTCCACATATCTGATGAATACATTATCATCATTATTTTTTTAACAATAAACCATTTTTTTCAGAATTTGATGAGCTATAACGCTCTATTTCACATCTCATCGGCCTACACGGCTCACAGACTTGAACTTGGACACGCGACTTTGCACATACTTGCCATACGCTAGAGAGAGAGAGAGCCTACACTAGAACGGCAAGCATCTTGGTTTGAAGCTTTCGTGACTGCAAGGATTCATATTATTAGGTTTTTTCGGTAAAGTCACGTAGGTAAAAAATTAAAATTAATAAAAGTAAAATAAAAAAATAAAATAAAAATCACGACGTTTCGGAGGCAACACAAGCTTCCGTCTTCAGGTGGAACCGTCACAGCACGATAGCTGTATCAAGTGTATCACGTGATACAGCTATCGTGCTGTGACGGTTCCACCTGAAGACATAATAAAATACAATTCAGCTATCGTGCTGTGACGGTTCCACCTGAAGACGGAAGCTTGTGTTGCCTCCGAAACGTCGTGATTTTAATTTTATTTTTATTTTACTTTTATTAATTTTATATTTTTACCTACGTGACTTTACCGAAAAAACTTAAGAATATGGCAACCATCTTGTCAGGCTCCGTCTTTCAGGGTCTCATCAGCAACAGTCAGAGCAGCACCAGCAGCAATGCCAGGCTTGCTTGACCCAAATATCGGTGAACTACAAGATCCTAGCGGTTTGTTGTCGCTGGTGTTTTGACGGCCTGAGTTGTCCTGTGACTAAAACAAAACAAAACAATTCTCACGACGTTTCGGCCACAACGCAAGTAGCCGTCCTCAGGTGGAGAACAGACTCTGTCGAGGAGACTCTGTCTCCTGTCGAGGAGACTCTGACTCTGTCTCCTCGACAGAGGCTGTTCTTCACCTGAGGACGGCTACTTCCATTGTGGCCGAAACGTCGTGATAATTATTTTATTATGTTTTATGTTTATTATTTTATTATTTCCATTCTACGTGATTTTACCGAAAGATCAAAGAAGATGAATCCCTGCAGTCACGAAAGCTTTAAATCGAAATATATTACACTGGTCAACACACTTTTTCTGGCATAAGGTATTCCAACGGTTTTAAGGTAATTTTGTGGTGCTGATTCCAAATCTGGCATCAGTTTTTGTCTATCACATCAGGTTTTTGAGATATCAAGTATTGCATTTTCAATAAAAACTGGATATCTACATAAAATTATATTATAAACACACTTATCCTAAAAATACAGCACCATATTTTAACACTTAAGCAGTCACTGACTCGCAACAACTTGCAATCATAAGTGACAGGTATGCCGATAGCATAAAAATGAGATGTGATGGAGCAAATCTGAGATCAGATTTGGAATCAGCACCCTGAAATTAGTCGAAAACAGCTGCAAAAGTCCAGGCCAGAAAAAAGTGTTTTTTTTGTTGATCCAGTGGAATTATCGATCATGGGAGCGTTCGTCAAGCGCTGGATGCTCAACGCTTGGCTTCGCGCGTCCGTAACGTGGACCGATGCGCTCCCCCCCCCCCCCCCCGGTGCGGGTCATGGAGGTGTGGATGCACAGCGTCGTGGAAGCGAGACACGCAAAATTAAATGATGAATAAGAAGACTTAGATGATTTAGTTGGTGTGTGTGTTTTTTTTTACAAATATATTTCTAAAGTGAAATCGTGGACGTGTGATGTCACGTAGAGCCCTCGATCACCCGACGCGGCCAGCCAAACATAAAAACGACACCAAATGCAGTTGTCACGTGGACAAATACAGCTGCGGCAAACAACCCGAAACGTCGACCAGCGAGAGACATTCGATAGCTGTGGACCGGCGCATTAATTGGTCGTGACAGCCCACGCGGGTCTGGGACAACGTGGAAACGCTGCGATGCTCGCGTGCCATGCGCTGCCTGCTATGAGTGAATTCGTAATTAAACGTGGCGACGCCATCGATCGTGCAGCATTAGGGTCCGCACGGGGGAGCGGTGGCGCAAGTGGTTAGCGCGCTGCGCGACGAACCTACAGCGACGCGAGTTCGATTCCCGCTGGCGACAATCTGAAACCGGTTATGTCCCCCCCACCCACCCCGCCTAGGTCGACTCAGCCACGAATGAGTGCGTTAAACGTCGCCGCTAGGGAGACAAAGGCGGTCGGGCGTGGCGTTAGCGACACCATCCTCTCGCGTGTCTCCATCGGTGCTGCTGCCCGCTGACAAGCATGTGCCCGTACGGGCCAATCTTTCTCTTTTCTACCTTTGTGTGCGCAACGTTTGTGACACGCGCCCAATAAACAGCCGCTGGCCCGCGTCATTAATTCTCGCCAAGTCGCCTACTTAATACAACATTATTAATATCGGAACTAAGTACCGTGGGTGCTTTGAATGCCCCCTGCAGACGAGGGGATTATTAAACAGGTCGCATCTTTGAGCTTATTCGACGATGCACCGCCGCTGGCGCTGTCGTCTATTTATGCAGATTTCCAGCGAGTCAATGAATTCCCTCTGCATGTAATTACGCGAGCCCTTAATTACACGCTGAACGCTAACTGCAAAAACGTGTTTGCAAAGCATTGTGCGTGTGTGTTTGCCTGTGTGTGTGTTTGTCTGTGTGTGTTTAAATTTCGATTTAAAGCTTTCGTGACTGCAGAGATTCATCTTCTTGGTTCTTTCTGTAAAGTCACGTAGAAGGGAAGTAATAAAATAATACAAATAACCCAGGCTTATATATATGCTCCAAGCACGTGTGCTGTTTCATTCAGACGCTGTCGCCTCGACAGACCTGGTTTTCACCTGAGGACGGATGCTTGCGTTGTGGCCGAAACGTCGTGAGAATTATTTTATTATGTTTTATTTGTATTATTTTATTACTACCCTTCTACGTGACTTTACCGAAAGAACCAAGAAGATGTGTGTGTTTGTCTGTGTCTTTGTGCGTGTTTTCAATAACACTTCACGTAGGCCTCCACACGTCAAAGTGCACCTAGCCTGGCACGAGCGCTGGGGGAGGGGACATGATGGCGCAGTGGTTAGCGCGCTACGGACCCGGCGACCCGTTTTCGATTCCCCGTTCACAGGAACCAACACCAGCGACGATTATCTGAACCTGTCCTGGGCCTCCCCTAGGTCGACTGAGTCTCAAATGACTACCTGGTGCGGTGTGTAAAATCGCCACTGGGGAGACAAAGGCGGCCGGGCGTAGTGTTGACCACCCACCACCCCCTCGTGTGTGGTTCTGGCCTTCATAGGTGCTCGCTAACATCACTTGCCCCAACAGTCTATTAAGGCTATGCGGGAGATCTTTGTCTTGTATTCTAGTGGTAGTTCCTTAGGCCGATAATATATTTCTGTTCTTTGTGCACGAATCATTATTACGTTTCAGCCAACTGGAACGAGATGTTCCATCTCAATATCGAAACGAACGCAATAACTAAACTCAAGCCAACCCCCTTTTTTTAAATCCTATATATTAAGTTCGCTTGCTTGCGTGCTTGCGTGCTTGCTTGCTTGCTTACGACCGTGCAAATTTTTCGGTCGTTTTTTAATCCACTTCCCGTGATCCAATCGAGCTGACATTTTGCACACAGACTCGCTGTGCGAGACAATTAATGTTCGTGAAATTTTTTTCCCAAAAATTTACACTTTTTAGGGAAAACAAATTAAATATTTAATTACCAATTGCTTAATACTGGCAGACAATCATCTGACCCATAGGTGGCAGCCATCTCAAGCCAGAGGACGAGAGGACTCTAGCCGCCACGCATATAAAGGATTTATAGTGAAAAACTTTGTTTTTACGGGTTATACTTGTTTTATTTACAACCGGCGATGGATCCATCGCGGAACATCTCACCTGCTGTTCATCCAATCCGTGATGACCCATCTGATGATGCAGACTCAAGCCCTGCTCGGCCAGGCCCGGGTGGTCCAGCGAGCCGGGTCCTCCGTGCAACAGGATGTCGGGCCGTCTGGCAGCAGCCGCCGCAGCCGCAGCAGCCGCGGCCGAGTAGTCGCGGCCCGACAGCTGTGCCGCCAACCCCCGCTGCTGTTGCGCCATCGACGCCTGGGACAAGAGGACCCCATCGGACGTGGGACCGCCGCCTCCTCCTCCGCCCCCGCCGCCGCCACCGGGCCCAACGGACTGCCGCTGGCTTGCGGGCCACTGCTGCGACTGGGCATGGTGGTGGTGGTGATGGTGGTACTGCGCGGCGTGGTGCAGCTGGTTAAGGCCGAACGGGTCGTGCGCGTAGGGGTCCTGCGGCTGGTAGGCCAGCGGCTGGTACGGCGGAGGGAAGTAGGGGGGTTGGAAGTCGGCGCCGCCGCTCGTGGCGTGCGTCAGCGGCGGCGCGTTGGAGTACGGGCTGCCCTGTCCCAGCTGCGTGAGTCGCGGACCTCCATGGCCACCGACCCCTTCTGAGCGCTCCTGTGTTGTGTTTTTTTTGGGTGCGGAGAGGGGAGCAAAGGAGACGAGGGGTGAGCGATGCGTTGTGGGGCCAGGAGAGAGGCTCGTGGGTTGGTTAAAGCGGAGCGGATGATGAACGCGCGGCGGTGGTGGTGGTGGTGGTGCGCAAGGGGGTGCGGACGACGGGGGGCAGGGACAGAGATGGACACGGGGAGACAGAGGGGGGAGACGCGGAGACAGGTACGGGGTGAGACGAGCAAGAGGGCGGATGTAGACGGAAGATAAAGCTGACGCGGAGAGCAGATTTAAATACAGAGACGGAGAAAGAACAAAAATATATAATCAGAGAAGTAGGGGAACGGAGACGAAAATATACAGCGACAAAGACACGGATACAGGGAGAAAGACGCACAGGGAGAGAAGTACAGAGACACGGAGAGATGCGGAGAAACACCGACACGGATACGCGCAGAGAGGCTCGCATGGACAAATACATGATGGGAATCGCACACGGAGTGTCACAGAGAAAACACGGAGACACAAAAAGACGTGGAGACATGCACACAGACGGAGCGAGACGTGAGGACACACGGACAGATTAAAAACTCTCTAGACTGGAAACTCATTTCTCGAGAACTACTTTTCGTGTTCAGTTTGTTGTCCTTCCCCCGCACCTCCGATTAGCGCGATTGGCACACGCACGGCGCGAAAGAAGTTCAACATACGTACGCGAGACACATGGGAGACACACGCACACGGGGAGAGAGAGAAAGAAGAGAGAGACGAAGAGAGACGAGCGCATGCCACGCGAGTACACTCTCCGTACGCGCGAGTCGCGGCGGAACACGACGCAGTCGCGTGCACACGATCACGAATTCACACTCGTGTCATTGCCATCACTCATGCGCACGTTAAATGCGTGAACTCTATTGTTTATAGAGCGCGCGCACACACACGCACGCACACGCGCACACACATGCGCGCACACACACGCATGCACACGCACGCACACACACGCGCGCACACACACGCACACGCACGCACGCACACGCGCACACGCGCGCACACACGCACACACGCGCACACGCGCACACACATGCGCACACGCACACACACACGCGCACACACACGCGCACGCACACGCACACACACGCGCACACACACGCGCACACGCACACGCGCGCACACACGCACACACGCACACACACACGCACACACACACACACGCACACACACGCACGCACGCGCATACACACACGCATACATACACACACACACGCGCACACACACACGCACACACATGCACACACGCACACACACGCACACATGCACACACATGCACACACACGCACACACACGCGCACACAGTCGTGCGGTCGTGTGCGGTGGGAGAGGAGTCACAACGGTTGACGCTACCGCTGCGTTGCGGAACCCGGCGACCCGAGTTCGATTCCCGTTCACGGAACAACACCAGGAGTGACGATTATCCGGACCGGTCCTGGGGCCTCCCCTTGGTCGACTCAGCCTCAAATGAGTACCCGGTTGCGATGTGTAAGGATCGCCACTCGGGAAGATAAAGGCGGCCGGGCGTGGTGCTAGCCACCCACCCCCCCCCCCCCCTCGTGTAGCCTTGCCGACTTTCATAGGTCCCCGCAGACAGCAACTTGCCCCAACAGCCTCGTGTCGGCTACACGGGGGTTCTTTGTCTTTGTGTTTATTACGTGACATGACCACTGGGGCGGACACACGAGTCGCGTGTGTTTATTGTTTACTTTAAACAGCTGTTATTTATTAAATGCGATCTCCCCCCCCCGCCCCCACCTTAAATTTGCTATCTGGAGTATTTTATTCCATGCCGTCTTGGAGATCACACGCCAATTGCGTGATTGAATCCCGTCGTCATTCTGTTCAGCTCTGCATGGAAACCTGGCCGCTGTTCACCTATTAGCGATGCTCAATTGCGATGCACTGGCTCATTCGTTCATTCTAGAACTCCAGAACATGATTTCGACTTATCCCTGGATGTGTGTGTGTGGTTAGCTACGCTGCGCTATGAACCTGGCGACCCGCTTTAGATTCCCGCTCACGGCCAACACCGGTGACGATTTTCTGAACCGGTCCTGGGCCTCCCCTAGGTCGACTCAGCATCAAATGAGTACCTGGTGTGATGTGTAAACATCGGCACTGGGGAGACAAAGGCGGTTGGGCGTGGTGCTGGCCACCCACCTCCTCGTGTGCCGTTCCGGCCTTCATAGTCTGTTGAGGATCTAAGGATGATCTTTGTCTTGTTTAAAACTCTGTCGTTTTCCGTGAATGGCACGAGACATCGCTGCACCCAGAATACGTTGTCTGTGACGATGTTAAATGACTATGTTACTATACTCTTTGGTTCTTTCGGTAAAGTCATCAAACAAATCACGACGTTTCGATCGCAACACAAGCAATCTTCATCAGGTGGAACAACCACAGCAAGACAAAATGCTGAAGTAGGCGACAGAGCTTCCGTGGCAAGGAACCAGTCTGTTGCCATACAACTGCTTGACTTGTCAAGCATCCGTGGACCTGTTTGTTGTTGTGACACTGCACTGGGGTTAGGGTGAGCTCTCCGAATGGGCTGTTTGGCCTGCATCGTCGACGAAAAATGAACTGAAGTTAAATAAGCCAATTAATTAAACACAAATTGCCAGCATGAATCGCACTGTTACTAGATAGACGTAATGTTTGTTTTACCTGTAATTTCACGCGTGCACGTGCGGTGTTTACCGCACATTATTATATATTTGTATATTTTTCCACAACTCAAGAATGTATACGGTATTTTACTTTTCATCGGCTTGAGCGTCACACTCCACTCGAGGCAAATTAATCGGTTCGCCTATGATGCGGAACCATGTGCCATGAAGAAGGGCTATTGCCCGAAACGTCGCCTACTATATATTTTTTCTTGCGCCAGTATTTATTGACGAATGTTGAGATTTTTACTTTTATTATGGTTGGTGATTGTTTATAATTAGCGTGAGACTTTAAGCAATGTTGGCTACTAGGCTGATCCGGCCCGCACCTCCGAGTTAAACGATTTAAACTCCGTAATGTTTGGGGAAATTCAAATTGTAACATCAAAACTAATAAATCGTATTGATGTAGTTATAAGCACATCGACCTCGCGCTGCATATATATATATACAGTACTGTAATGCGGCTGTGTGTGTGTGTAAATGTGTCAAATGTCACCACTCAAAGTGCACCTGGCCTGGCACAGGCGACGCGGTGACATCACCGCTACTTGGTGACGAATGTTGTTGTTGTTGTTAATGATGATGTTGTTGTTGGTGGTTGTGTTGTTGTCAAACAGAGCGATCATCGCAAAGTCCACGGTGTCCATGCCGGTGTTGGTCAGAGATGTCATCGGCGCGAGACGTCAACAAGAAAAGGCAAAGATCCCCCTCTCCCCCGTGTAGCCTTCACAGACTGTTGGGGCAAGTGCTGTTAGCTAGTAGCGCCTGTGGCACACGAGGGGGGGGGGGGTGTCAGCACCACGCCCGACCGCCTTTGTCTTCTTAGTGGCGATGTTTTTTGTTGTTGTATACAGCGCAAACCAGGTACTCATTTGAGGCTGAGACGACGCGATTATCAGACACTTTCGTCGTGCTATCAACTGTGGCCAGGTCGCTTCGTGAAAAAGGAGCTAATAGCTCAGTGGGCCTTGCCTGCTGAAATAAATCAAATAAATAGTTTTAGTTTGTTGTCGTTGTGGTGTTACTGCTGATGTTGCGGATGTCGTCGGCAGTGGAGCACAAGCACGGATAATGAAACAAAATTACACGACAAAATGAAATTAATATGCGTGAAGACATATTTCCCGCAAAAAAACGTCGCCCTGTCTCTGCAATGAAGAAGGGCTCAATGCCAGAACCGTCGCGTATGATTTATATATATATATATGTGTGTGTCCCTTTTAAGGCCACGGAAGTTTTTTTGGGCGAGTTTGTGGATGTATGCCAACAATGCGCGCGGACTGCACACCTACAACACACCACACAGACACACCCCCATACACAGACTTGACTTTACATCACATGGTGATCCATTTGTAGAGCCCCCCCCCCCCCCCCCCCGCTAAAATAGTAACATTATAGGACGGAAGATAGGGGTGGGGAGAAACAACCCCAAACGATTTCATTTCAAAGCCTCTAAAAAGTCTCCCACCAATTCCAAATGGTGCACTTTAAAATCGTTCAACGCCGCGAAAGTCAACCACGTTTTGAGAAGGACGCAAGGGGCGAGAGAGATAGAGGGGAGGGGGGGGGGGCAGGGGGTCGTGAGAAATGTAGAAAATAAGTGGGGTGTCTATAGATGGATCGCACGCGTGGCCACCCGCGGACATCAACGGATGACGAGGAGCGCACGGCGCTTGAGCAGACGCTGGGGGGGGGGGGGTCGGAATGACGGCCGTGAGTCGAGCTTCGAAGGAGGAGGTGTACGGCTTGGGGCAGGACGCCCCACGGCTCGAGAAGGGATTTGATTTGATGGCCAACGGTCGAGATTAACAACGGACTGGCCGTAAACAAATAACGTCAATTATTATAATAATGATGATGATGATCATAATGGAACGCGTCCGACAGGTTTGCGCACGCCGTGAGAGATGGAGCGATGAAATGGAATCAATTCGTGGGCAAGTGCTGGCAGCGGCGGCGGCAGTGGCTTAGGGTTGGGGTCTTCTTCCAGCAGTGGATTGACCATGGCCGATTGATTATAACGATAACGACGACGATGATATAAGCGGGTGACCGCGCGATTCAACGGAATGCCCAAGCGAAGAGCGGCGAGGCCTTGCGAGTGAGCGGCGGCGTTGATTGGCGTCGTGACGCCGCTAATTGGAGCGAACTGTGAACGAGCGAAGGAACACGTGGGCGTCAACGACGTTGAGAGAGGTGCGCGGTTCGAACCCCGAGGCAGCCCCGGTCAATACTGCGTGCGGGTGTATTTAATCCCCCCCGCCTCACCACCTCTTTATTTAT